CCTTAAAGTCTCAGTTTGCTTTTTATACAAACAAACAAACAAGAATATTCTTGGGTCTTTCATAAATTTAAATCTGTGTGTCCTGTTAGAGGGTGAAAATGATCTCTTTTCCATTTTCCTTTCTTGAGGAGGTATTCTCAAAGTGTGGCTGCAGAACCCTGCACAGAACCATTCCACAAGTTTAGAAAAAAAAGGCAAATTCTTGACCAGCACTACAGACTTGCTAAATGAGAAGCCCTGGGGATTGGAGGAGATGTGACTTGAGGATTTGAAGTTTTTAAAAAACCCACTTAATAGAATTAATTTTTGGTATTTTAAACAGTGTTACTGTTTAGTAGTAACCCATTTTCAAATGAGTATTAATTTAAAATGGACAAAATAGCTATAAATGCATTAAAATCACTAGCTGGATTTTTAGAAGCCATGTTGTATAGCCTAATAGTTAGAATTAAGGTGAACTAGATACTGCAAAGATTTTCCCTCAGTCTTAGTCTTCGTTCTGTCTTGGCATAACCATACTTCCACCTGGCATCATTTTCCTTCTGACAAAATAACTCCCTTTACTCTTTTTAAATGTGTATCTAGGGTTGAGAGGGTATATTTGCCCTTTCTTCCTCAGAGAGTGAGATCACGTGAGCTAATGATTGAAATAACTCTGAGGAGTATAAGCACTAATTAAATGTGATTTTGAGGCAGGGTCGGTCTTATTCATCTGAGTCTCTAAAGTGACAGGCATAGAGTCGGTACTCAATAATTATTAGATGGAAAAACACCAGGAGATCACCTTATATCCTACTTTATATAAATCACATCTATTTGACTTTAACTTTTTATGTTCCTCTTTGATCTCCCCTTAAAAATTACTTTGAACCTTCACATATCCTCTTATCCTAGAGGAAAGACTTCTTCTTTCCAAGGTCACTTATGATTTGTGTACCTTCTCCCCTTGACTGCTCTAGGAGACCTTGTTTCTTCAATCCCCTGAATAGTCTGTCTCTCTCCATTGACTTTTTTTCTTTTTTCTACTTATATGTCGAGGTCTCCTCATTCCAACATTCAACACCCTTTTCTGGATTCTATTACTTTTAAAATTTACTGTCACATATTTGCTCTCTATTAAACTTTTCAAAGGAATATACATTTGATGCGTATACCTCATCTTCTGCTCACTCCTTAGCCTTTGTGATTTAGTGAACTCCCATTATTCTACTGAAACTATTGTTTTGAAGATCACTGATCATACTAGATTTTTCAAAACAATGACTTTATCAGTCTTCAGATTCTTGAGTTTAAGCATTTGGTAATTTTTTTTCCTTGAAACTTTTCCTTCGCCTCCTGTAGCACTACTTGGTTCTCCTCCTCAGATTCCTTTTTTCCATTGTCTGTCCCTAATGGACATACCCTTGGTCCTTTTCCCTGGTCTTTATTTTATTCACAACCATATCAAGTCTATATGGATGACTGAGAAACTCTATGTTTCCATTCTCTCTTGAGTTTTTTTGTTTTGTTTTGTTTTTTGGGTTTGTTTTTTTTTTTGCTAAGTTTCACTTGAGGATATTTTTCCATTGATTTTTTTTAAGAGGGAGTGAAAAGGAGGGGAAGAAACAGAGAGAGAAACATCAATGTGAGAGAGATACATTGGTTGGTTGCCTCCAACACAAGCTCCAATCAGGGCCGGTGATTGAGCCTGCAACCGAGGTACATGCCCTTGACCAGAATCAAACCCAGGGCCCTTACGTCTGCAGGCCAAAGCTCTATCCACTGAGCCAAACAGGATAGGGCCTCTCTTGAGTTTGATACTAGAATTTTCACCAGATATGCTGAACGTATCCTCCCAGATGTTATGCCTATGCTTAAATTTAACTTCTTTCAAGAAAAACATAAATTTCCTCCAAAGAAATCTGCTCTTCCTTTGGTGTTTTGTCTTGTTTATTTATGTTATCATCTCCTCACTTAAGTAGAATTTAAGCAGAATTTAAGCAGTCATTTTTGACTGCCAGGTTCTGCTCCCTACATACTAGAATTAAGTCCTATCAATTCTGCTTCTATAATGTTTTCAGAATCCCTTGTCTTTTCTTCTTGTTAATGCCATCCTAGCTCAGGTCATCAACTCCTCTCTTTGTCCCCAGCACAGCTGGCATGGCCCAGTGGTTGAACATTGACTTATTGAACCAGTAGTCACGGTTTGATTCCCAGTCAGGGCACATGCCCAGGTTGCAGGTTTGATCCCCAGTGTGGTATGTGCATGAGTCATATCAATGATACCCTCTCATCCTTGATGTTTCTATCTATCTCTCCTCCCCCCATCTCTGAAATCAATAAAAATGTGTTAAAAAATAAATGCTTTCTGCCTCTCACTTTGTCTTCTTGATCTACCCTACTCATTACTCTGTGACTGTTCTGCTGCACAGCTTAGATTATTCTGCTCCCTATACAAAGCTTTGATAATTCCCCATTGTCTTAGGCATAAAGTGTAAACTCCTGCATGTTACATGTAGAGCCTGTCACCACTAGTTTCAGCTAAAATTTACAATCAAACCTCTACTTTGCTGTCATACATTCACACTAGACTCTCACCACTTCTCAGCACAGATTCTCTTTTCTCTCTCCTACACCTTGGCTCCTTCTCCTTGCTGTCTCTCTTACTTCCTCTGTGACAATTGAATGTAATTTCTATTACAAATCCAGTTCAGATGTCACCTCTTCCATGTAGCTGCTCGGGACTCTTCTTCCTTGTGCCCCTTTCCAGCTACCAGATTGATCTGTAGTATTCACTTACTTTTACCTCAGGATTCAGGGATGGTTGGGATACATTAAGAAATCTCACTATGCAGGGTGGGGCAAAATTAGGTGTACAGTTATGGGTATACAAAACAGTTTATTTTATTATTATTTATTAATTATGATATTATTTTCCATATGAATAGCTATAAACCTATGAAAGTATGCCACACCGTGTATTGTAGTAAGTACTCAGTGATGAAACTTTTTTCCATGTGCATATCCTGCTTTGAACTTTTATTAGACTCTTACTAAGTACTTAAAAAAAATTTCTTAAATGTATATGTATTGTTTCCCCCTTCAGACACTGGAGGGCACTGGTGAAATGCTTAAAATAACTGCTCAGTTGCTCAAATGAGTATTGATGTTCTGGATGGCATTTGTATGTGTGTGCATTCTCACACACAGAAAAGACCATTAGGGGTGGGGAAGATGACAGGTTTTTCTACTGTCTTAAAATTTAATAATCAAATAAAATTAAGATAAAGCAACAAATTATTTTGTAAAATTTTAAGTTCAGCTTGTGAATCTCATTATTGCTTAGTCTAGAAAACTTAAATAACCACTTTTAAAGGAAATAGATATATCTTTTTGGTCCCCTTTGCATTCTCAGATATACATTCTTATCCTGTCTAATAAAGAGGGAATATGCTAATTGACCCTCACACCATTGCAAAGATGACGGCGCCCACAGCCAATAAGGAGGGAATATGCTAACTGACTGCCACACCCTCAAAGATGGCAGCGCCCACAGCCAATACGAAGAGAATATGCTAATTGACTGTCCCACCCTCAAAGATGGCAGCACCCAGTCCCCTTGGCTCTGCTGGGGTGGCAGGCACTCAGCAAGGCCAGGCCTGCCCCAAAGCAGGTCTGGGCACTCCATGTGCCTGTGTCCTGAGACTCCCAGTCCCCTTAACCCCCCAGCTGCCCAGGGCCACCCAAGGCTCAGGTAACCAAGGCCGGCCCAGGCTTGTGCTGCTGGCAGTGGCAGCAGCAGAGGTGTGATGGGGCGTCACCTTCCCCTGATTGCCGGGTCCCTTCCCACCCCTGAGGGCTCCTGGACTTTGAGAGGGGGGCAGGCTGAGCAGAGGGACCCCCCTCCAGTGCATGAATTTTCATGCACCAGGCCTCTAGTATATTTCATATTTCCTTTATAAATTTGATATATTTTCTTTTCTCTTAAAGACTAATTGTCTGACAAATTTTCTCAAGTGCCCTATTCAGATCCTTGCTTATTTCTCTTTTGGGTTTTTTCTTTTCTTCTCAATTTTTAGTAGCTCTTTATAAATTTGATCAATAAGCCATTTGTCTCTTATATGAGTGGCAAACATTTTTCTAAATTTGTCATTCACTTGTGTTTTTATTTTGCTGCTGCTGCTGGGGTAATGTCAACTGTGTGTGTGTGTGTGTGTGTGTGTGTGTGTGTGTGTGTATGGGTTGTTTACTTCACTATGTAGAAATTCATTTTACATATTTTTGACTTATCACCATGCAGAAGTGAATGGAACCACAGTCCCTCTCTGGGAAACTGGTTCTTAGGCTTTGCTGGTGGAGGCTATCAGAGTTCTTCCTGATGTCTGTTGTTAGTGGACTTTTACTCATATTAAACCCCTCATCTCTGAATTCCTCATATATTCTTCACACTAATTGCTATCACTTTGCAATTCATAACTTACCTATTCCCTGGTGGTATTTGCTTTTATTTCCATTTTGGTTTTGTCTCTTTGCTTAGATGTTGACTTGTGGAGAGCAGTGGCCTTTCCTCAAACACAGCATCTCCCAGGTGCTTAGCACCATGCTGGGCAGTTACTGTGGGTTCCGTGAGCACATATGAAAGGTTTCCCGGCCCTATGCACTAGCAGGCCATGAGGATGTGGGGTGTACCATCGGGGATACTGAAAGCACCCTCTCCTGTAGAGCCCAAGTGTCATCCTGGAAGCAGATCCCTGCTGGCTATGCCCTTTGGGTGGGATCAAGCCATGGAGATGGCTCTAGGTTGAATGATAGCTGAGATAATCCTGTCAGTTTGATCTTTCCCAAGCTCTTCTTTACTCTACCTATGACACCCAAGAACCATTCCTATGTGGGAGAGATGGGTAATTGACTTATCTATATCCTCCCTCATTTGCCTTTCTTTTCTGAGTTCAGAGGAACTGACACAAGCCAAAGGTTCAAGAAGTCACTTGATTTAATGGAAGCAAGAATGTAGGGTAGGGATCTAGTGGCAGGATGGTAATCAGTGTGTCTCTTAATCTTCCAGCCTTGGCTGGGATTGCTGTGTGAAGAGAGGAGCCTTAAGTGTCCTCTTTTCAGGCCTGGGATCTTCAGGGAGAAGTGTGGGGAAAGAGAAAAAGTGACACAGAACATAGGGAGAAGCCTTAATAGCTTCGTATCTGTGAAGTTGGGACAATTCTGCATGCCTGTGTATTGTATAGAGAAAGCTGGGCTGGAGCTAGGAAAGGATAAGAGGGGTTGAGCAGTGAGGCAGCCTGTAAAACTGGACTGCCCACAAAATAAAAACCAGTTGGGTGGGCAACCTCTTACCCTCCACCTGACCTCCATCCTTGTCCTTAATGGGCTGCCTTGCTGTCCTCAATTCTACTTCTTTCGTCCAATCTGTGCCATCAGATGGGCATTGGCAGCTGCCTTGGCTCTCAAGTTCTTGGCCTTGGCAATGTTTAAGAGGACATTCATGACATTAGTGGGGACATCAAGGGATAGAGTGAACTTGGTGCGCCGGTCATTCTTGGCCTTGTTCTGGTACAGCTTCCCTTTGAGCTGTGCTTGGGATAAGTACTTGTACCGAGAGCTCCCAGCTCCACCACTGCCCCTGGGAGCAGAGAAGGCCCTTTTCTTCTTGTCTTCTCCCTCCTCATCCTTTTCTTTGTCCTCATCTGAGGATGGGTTCTGGCTGGGTAGGTAGGGGAAGCCTCTCTTGCTCAGCAGGGCTATATCCTCCAGCTGGTTCTTCTTGGCCTCAGACAGGGCCATGTTGATACAGCAGAAGATGGACTCGGCTTTGGAGAACTTATGGGACAGACTCATCCTGGGGGCCCCTTGGAGCAGCAGCAGCAGCAGCAGGAAGTGGGTTGGCACAAACATCTCTCCCTGTGGTAGAAATGAGGGAAATGGGAAGGGGCGTGAGAGGGGCTCAAGGCTCAGGACATGGGGTTTTGTCCACGCTCTGCTCCACCCACAGCAGCACCTGGACATTTATTAGAAATGTAAACAATTCTCAGGGGACTGAGTTGCAGATGTCATATTCTCTCTCTCTCTCTCTCTCTCTCTCTCTCTCTCTCTCTCTTTCTTTTGCAGGGTAAAGGAAAACAAACTCTCCACACAGAAAAGTCATCATCATCATTTGCTTCCCTACTGACATCTAATTCCTAAGCAAGTTTCTCCTCTTCTATTCTTTGGGTGCTTTTGCCACCATCTCTAGTGAAACACCACAAACATTTATATTTCTCTGCTACCTGCTATGAAAATAAGCAAGCCCCATCTACTTAGATTTAAAGTAGAGGAGTAAAACTCTACATCTATATTTTTCTTGTTTGTATATCTGAAATTCAACCATTCTTTGGGGTTGTTACAGCAGTACCTTCTCTGGGTGATTTAAAGATACACACTTAATTTTGAAATCTGTGACAGAGTCCAGTCCTAGGAACCTGGGCCTGCCTGAAATTCAGAGCATCTCTGAGGGAGAGGGTACTGGAAGGGAAAGACTTTGGGGTACTGGAAGGGAAAGAA